ATGTGCCAGGAAATTTACAGGGACTGCACGGCATGTTCCTCTAAACTACAACACCTCTTTACAGCTGGAGGTGGAGGCTCGGGAGCCTGGGGAAAACAAAGGTTACATGTCTAGATACTCAGCAGACTCTCGAGGGTCGCTATTAACAGTATGAAACGGAGTACCAGTTGCAGGAGCTGGAGACTCAGACAAGCCAAATGCAGGAAGAAGAGTATGTTTGGGCCTTGGAGCTGCCTACATGGTACTACACACAGCCAGCTCAGGGCTGCAGCTTTCAGAACTCATCACTCACTCTGGAACTGGTTTTCTGAACATCCAGCTGCTTTAGAGCTGCCCCTGTTTCTTGTAAGTAAGCCCTCCCTTACACCCTTGTTAGTGACCCCATACACACTCACTGGTTCACCAAACTGAATGTTGCACAATTGTTAACTTGGTCTGTCATGGGCTTCCTTTCTGCAGTGAGTGCATGTGACTGCTGTATCTCCCCCAACAGTCTGTGAGTGAGTGCATGTGAGTGTTGTATCTCCCCCAACAGTCTGTGGGTGAGTGTGTGAGTGTTGCATCTCTTCCAACAGTCTGTGAGGCGAGTGCATGTGAGTGTTGCACCTCCTGCAACAGTCTGTCAGGTTGTTTTGTTTGACAGGTCAGATGAACCTCTCCTGAGAGATATGTGTGCATTTTGTTCTACATATAACTTCCATTGACAAGAAAAGTTTCCCAGAACCTCATTTGGGGGACACGACATCTTAGAAGTGCTTCTAATGACCAGAATTTGTCCTTTCACAGATAAATTTCTTAGAAAGATCCAGGGAGGGAGTAATAGAGGATGCTAGATGGCAACAGCTATCCAGAAATCAGCCAGGGCAAAGTTTTGTTTTGTAGGGCAAACACTATTTTTAACCTTCACTTTTTTTTTTTTTGTGGCAAAAAAAAAAAAAAAGCAGCTCACTTCACGTTAAGATAGAAAAACAAAGTGATGGTTAGGGGAGCTTGGAGAAGAGGGACAAACAAACAAGGCTCAACAACGAAGTAATTGGCATCAACAAGTTTCTATTCAGAAATAAAAGCAGCTTCCTACCATGGCACATGCCTTTAATCCCAGCACTGGGGAGGTAGAAGCAGGCAGATCTCTGTCATTCTAAGATCATTCTGGTCTACTCGTATTGAGTTTAAGGTTAGCTAGAGCTAATAGTGAGACCCTGACCTGCCCCCCCCAAAAAAAGAGGAGGGGGAGAAAAAAAAGGAGGAAGAGGAAGGAGGAGGAGAAAAGGAAAAGAAAGAAATAGAATAGAAAAGTAAGGCATTTTGGCAATGGGAGAGAGGAAACAGCATTTCCATGAATTGTGATAGTGTGTAAAATACATACAAGAAGATGGTGACATCTGTTTGGGTGGGTACTTAAAGGGTGAATAGACAAACATGTATGCCCCCAAGTTTATGAAAAATATGGCTTTTAGCATGGAACTACTAAATGCACACTTCTTACCACTGAGCAATTACATAAAATGAGGTACATGCCCACATTCCTATATGGTTGCACGTGCACCCTTTATTTTGATAGCAGAAAGATACACATAAGAAACAACACTTCACGCAGCCTTTGAGCTTCCAGAGTTTATCCCTGCAGCAATGAAGAAAAATGTCACTGTGCTCAGAGTCCCCAAGGCACAATGGTGTCTCTTGCCATCAGACACTTCCATTTAAGCTCACAGTGCTGAATCTAGAGCTTTCCCCTAGCCTGGAGCATCTCTTGCTCAGCAATCTTCAGGCCTTCAACTTAATACCTCCACATTCCCAAGTCTGAGTGAAACTGGCTACTCTTCAAGCCACTGCCTGCTGAACCATAGGCTCCTCCCAGGGGTGCAGACCGGCTCTACACCTAGCTCAGTGGTGCCAATCACTAAAGAGGAATGGAAAACACTACTTACAAGAGCCACCTGGCATTTTAGAAGAAAGGATACTCAAGTAAACAGCCACCGGGGGAGGAACAGGTAGACTACTTTGAAAGGAAGCTGAGGAGCTCTGCACTGACTGTGGGAGTGGCCCTGGGACACTCCTTCCAGAGACAAGCTAAGGTGAGGTCACACCTTCCAGATTTTCTCTGTCTTCATGGTGTACTCCCACCACACAGATCCAACCAATGAGCACACACAGCAGGAAGTCACATAGGTCCCTAAGTGTCTTATGCAGGGCTCTTGGCTCTGGGGTTCTCTGATGTCCTGGCCTTTTTGGAGCCTCTTGCTGCTTCATGCTTTTCTCTTTGCTCTGAGAATGAACACTCTTCTCAACGAAACTTCTCCTTATTCTTGCCAGGGCATCTTTCCCTGTGAAAAACCTCTCTTTCCCTTAAAACTCCATCTTAGTATCTGATTCACAGAGCAACCCTGTGACCAATTGCCAAGCATGCAATGTAGTCAAGACCAGATAATTGCATCTCAGCTGAAGGGACATAGAAGAATCTTCTCACCCACAAACAGTCAGTTAATAAGAAATTAAAATTAACTTTCTAAGAAACAACCCCCAGAGGTCAGAAAGAAAGTAAAAGCTGCTTCAGAAATCTACACTGATTCTTTTGCACTTCACGCATCTGCACCGTCATTCCCTGGGTAGAGAATCTGTGAAGAGAATAACTACTTATATGCTCCTTCAAATCAGCACAATTCCCTCATAGGACCCTTAACCAAAACACATCTAGTTTTCAACGAAAGCTCTTTTCAACTCTTCAAGATGTCCATTCCCTTCTGGGAGAATGGCATACTCTTCTGATGCCCGCCCCTTCAAATACCCACTTCTCAACCAGAGAGTCACCTCAGTAGTCTTTTCTATGTTAATGCTTTCACTTGCATGTGTGCTCCTTTACCTGACTTAGACATTTAGTTGTGATTTACTGAGCAGCTACTGTTTGCCAGGTGTGGTGTACCATCTTTCTGCCTTTATTGAAGTTCACATTTGGGGAGGGAGGTACTGTATGAGTAAATAAACAAAAACGGTGTTCCAGATGTGTTTAAGAAACCTAGATTATATGACAGAAAGTGATGGGAGTGGGCAGGGAGGAGTCATTTGACAGGCTAGATCTGAACTGAGATGAGCAGGCATACAATGGAGACACCCTTGGTCAACATTCAAGAGGGGAAGAGAAGTGTGCCAACAGAGGACTTCCAAAGGGACTTTAGCGAAGATTTCAGGAACAAAAGGTAAGTGCCTCTCTTCTCCCTCCCTTTAAGAGCTGGCTGGGGCTGTCTCCATCTATGCCCAAAGCCAGGGCTGCCTGTGGTCAGACACACATTTTGTTTTTTCTTGATGAGAGATGCTATACTTCTCTTGTAGGCAAACATTGTTTGCAGCTCTTTCCTGTCAGAGAGCAGGGTGTAACCTGGAATCACTGTGCCCCTGAGGCAAACAGAGTGTACCTGTGTGGAATTATTTGCACCCCTCTCTGGATATTCATGCCCAAGGAGATGGCATTAGGTGGGGTTAGGGGAAGGCAATCCAGGTTGTGAGGAAAGCTCCTCACAGATGAGATAAGTAACTGTAGCCATATGGGGAGACAGCTAGATGGTAAACTATTACTAACAGTGAGACCCTGGATTTGGTTCCCAGAAAGGGGAGGGGTACCCTTATTAACATAGATCATGTTGGGAACAGTGTAAACTTCTCCAAGTGAAAAAGTTCCATGGGATGCTGCCAGTCATCATACATTCCTTTTTTCTTTATACATGTCTTTAACACATGTGTGGTAGACAAGTATGTTCAAATACACTAGTGTGCATGTGGAGGGCGCAGGGCAGAACTGGGTGTTTCCCTTGATCTCTCTCCACCTTGGTTTTTGAGGTAGGCTCTCTCACCAAACCTGGAGTTCATGGGTTGACTGGTCCACCAATGAGATCCAGGGTTATCTTGTCTTTGCACACTGCACCCTGGCACTGGAGTTACGGCATATGCTGCCAAGCTCGGCTTTTTATGTGTGTACTGGATATCTGTGTGCAGGTCCTCATGCTTGTAAGGCAGGCACTGACTGAGTCATCGCCCAGCTCTCTACTTTCCTGTTTTCACTTGGTTTATTCTTGTTCCCTACTGCATGACTGAACAGAACAATTAATGCTCAATCCAGCTTAATCGAACTCTGATAACAAGTTTAGTTTCCCTGGAAGAGGTATTTGTTAAGCTCTACAGAGTTGGCTCATGTCAGAAGACAATCCTCTCAAAAGGTGTGAAGACATTTTATCACAGTGGTGGGAATGGAGGGAGATTTATTATCATTACTAACGCTATTTTTGTCAATGTCTTTGGAATTCTAATTAGATTGTTAAAACTTTACAAATCATTACATGAGATCCAGACTCAACACCTTCCTGAAGCAAGGGTGCCTCTGAAATGAGAGCATCCTGGTGCCACAGGTAATGATGCATTGCTGATAATAAAGTTGCAGGGAAATTCCGCCAATAAAACCAGCTGGAAGAGACAGAGCCCATTCATCTTACTTCCTCTCCCAGGTCTATGCCTGAGGATATGATGTCTGCTGTAGAGAACACCAGCCTTGCCCTTTCCATTTTAGCAGCTGCATGGTGCTGGCTCACAGACTGCGAAGTTTAATGGCTTGTCCTGGCTACTTATATTTTCCCTCTTAAATCTGAGAGGCAAATCAAAAACATTTACAAGTGACAAGACACTTGAAAAGGGAATATTTTTAGGAGAGAAATGAGACAAATGGCAAATTCAACACCTAGAGAACCATATATCTTAGAGCATTTTGATTTACAACATATGCATTCACAGTAATACCTGAGGGGAAACAAATGACTCACTGGTAACCCAGGCCCATTTGCAGGTTATAAACACGGGTGCTCTTTACTCATAAGATAATGGCTCTAAAGCCCTTGCACAGCAGAGGGCAAGGAATGGTATCTCCCTCCTGTCCTCTGCAAGATAACCTGATTCTTTCAGGTACAGATCCCAGCCCTTCACTTTCTAGCTGAAGGAAGAAGAGGGAGCTTACTCACCATGATGTACGACGCCCTTCAACCCGTGGATAATAGGATCCAGTGCAGAGTTGTCCCTCGGACTGACCTACATGTAAAGGAAACACGATTGGTTAAATCTGTCCTGGCATCAGCTACAACAGCCTCAGTTTAATCTTCTAAAGAGAAGGGGAAATGGATGCATCTAGCAAGCTGTTTAGGTCTCACATATACCATGGTGCTCACCAAATGCCAGAGATTTATGACACAATAAAATCAAGTGAGGAAGTCTAAATCACAACAAAGAAACTTCTCAGAATATATTATAACAGGAGAGAAATACCACATCCACAGCAAAGCCTTAAAAAGCTACTGCTCCATTTTATTAAAAGTAGTCCTGATCGGCTAAAAAAGTCATTGAAAGTCATCAGAGAACAATCCATCATGGAACGAGTACTCAACACCTCCTGGTGATTGTGTTTTTCTCTTCTCCTTAGGAAATGGTCCAGTTCCCTGCCAGCTTGTTCTCCTCCATAAAGACCCCAGTTCCTCAGAAAAACCCACATTCCTTGTGGTCATTTGTAAGAACCACTCAAAGCAGGATGACAGGGAAAGCACAGCTTAGAGAGACAGGTGTCTACCTCCATTTCCTTTTGGAATTAATGCCTCTCCAAACCAAGCTTCATTGTCCATGGGCCCACTGGTTCATTCCTTCAACTTTTAGATACTACTTAGCATATTATTGCCTTTCTAAATGAAAATATCCCTGGCAAGCTATAGTTATAATTTGAGGTACTTTCTCTTAGTACAGTGAAATATTTACAAATGAAATATAACAATGTCTGGAGTGTGTTTTAAAATAATCCAGGAATGGAGAGCAACTGGAGAGTGGGGAGACATGAGACTAATCTTGCTTGACTCAATCATTTAGGACCTTGAATGACAGGTATAGGATGGGTCATGACGCCATCCTTTCTACTTATATGTATGTCCTTTTTCTCCCCTAAAAATAAAGTGCTTTTCAAAATCCATTATCTGTGGTTAGCATAATTCCTGCATTTTTCCCCTTCAGGGACTGCATTTCCTATTAAATCCACTTCTCACATAATGAAGTTGAGATATTGATGAACCTTTCAATGTGCAGCAAGACCCAATTTGCTGTTTCAAGTTAACTCAGAGGAATCCAGAGCCATCCCTGTGTCGGATTTCTAGGGACTACAAAGGATACCCAGTACTTCCAGCTTAGGCAGATGCCTCCACCCCTGTTGAGGTGCCATTTCTGACTTGTTCTCCTGGAGAATAATCCACACTTCACACATTTCCTGCCCTTTTTGCTCCAGCATCGCCAGGACATAGCAGTGGCTCTAAACTATAAACAGGGACACCTCTGTCTCGCTAAGGGAACATGTGATCATGCCCAAGACATTTCTAGTTGTCACAACTATAGTAGGCAGTGGGGGGTGCAGGATTTTTATAGTGCCCCTGACTTCTGGTGGGGAGAGAATAGGACTGCTCTTAAATGTCAATGATGCTCACAATTATACTTTACAGTGAGGAATTACCAGACGTCAGAAGTCAGTATGTTAAAGAACTCAATGTCTGGAGCCCCAAAGTTATGTCTACCTTCAGAACACAAGGGCCATTACACAGTATTATGTTTATAGACTAACAATATAACATAATGTTGAAGTTGGTACTACACTGTAAGGAGGGAGGGAGGGAGGAAAGACAGTGAATAGGAAATTAGAGAATTAGATCACAGGTAAAAATCCTGGAAGTTGCCATGACTGAGCCTCCATATTATCTGACATGAAGCCCAGACCAGGGCTATATAGTGATTAAGGCACTTGCTCTGGAGATCAGGCTGGCCTGGAACTCACAGAGAACTTCATTCACCTGCCTCTGCCTACTGAGTGCTGGGATTAAAGGCGTGAGCCACCAACGCCCGGCTGTGTAAAACATTCTTAAAAAGACAACATATGGCAAATATTCATAGGATATACCCAATCAAAATTATATTTGAAGAAATACTGTATTTCTATCACATCAAATAATTGATCAAAAATTCAAAACACAGCCCCCAAAAGGGATCACAATTCAAGACTTCATGATAAGAGACTCTCATCAGTAAATGTGGTCACATTTCAAAAGCCCAGAATAGAATAACAGCCCAGAGAAGAGGCCGTGTCTTAAGGCTGTAGGTAGAAGGGCATTTGGGATGAGTGTCCTCTGTCCATGTGTTTAAGGCTTTGTCTTCAAAGGGTGCTGTGGGGAAGTGGAAGCTTTGGGAGTTAGGGCCTAGTTGGGAGCTTCTTAGTCATTGGGAACATACTCTGGATGGGCCTATGGGATCCTAGCCCCATCCTCTTTCTCTTTAGCTTGCTAAGTGATGAGGTTAACACGACTACACATTCCACCATGTAATGGCCACCTCAGATCCAAAGGAAGGGGGCAATCAATCATGGACTGGAGCACACATTATGAGTCAAAATCAATCTTTTCTAAGCCAGATATCTCATGTGTTTTGTTATATGCAGCAAGAGGCTAACACAGGGGAGTGGAAATGTTCATGTGAGTGTAATTACCTAAACTCTTAAAGTCTGTGAAGAGATGGTGAGGTGCCCACAAACCCCTCTCCTCCTTGCCACACATACACACCTCTAGAGCTGGAGTTTGCTACTCCTCCATCAAGAGAGTGTACCAATTTTTCCTACTTTTGAGACAAAAATGTCTATATTACTGTTTGGGGTAAGGGGAAGCTTGTGAATGTGACAAAGGCAGATGCTCTTAAAGCATTGGGAGCATAAGGCCACCATGAAAAGAACCCCAAACTAGCCTATCACAAGCTAAAAAGGAATAGGGAGTGAACATGGGCAAGTCCAGCTGCTGTCCTTCCAGTTCGCCAACTACCAAAATGTGAACAAGTCCACTTGAAGCCAGGTAGCCTTTGTTGAACACCTGCATCCCATGTACAGCTGCTGAGCTCACTGAGCAAGAGCTGACTAGCTAATAATGCACAGCATCCAGGGAAAATGGTGTGACTGTTACCTCAACCAACCAGGGTCATTTTTCTTTCAAAAGAGCGAACTGTACATACTGGATCTTCTCTGACTGAGTGTAGGGGCTGAAGTTGGAGGAATGGCCATGATAATTTCCTTCACCAATACATGTTGCTTATGCTACGTCCTAAAGTTTTCTGAACAAGATTCCTTATTAGGCCAATTCAGCTGTCTCAACCTTTCAAAATTATGCTACACTTCTTCTGCCTATGGTGACAACCTTCTAAAAAACACTATGCAAAGGCTCACTGTTTATGCTTCATTTACCTACAGCCAACTATGATCTGAAGCACTAGGAGATGGAAGCCTGAGGCTTGGTTCAAGGCTATCATCAGCTACAAAGGAAGTTCAAGCAAAGCCTGGGCTATATAAGACTGTCTCAAAAAGCAAGCAAGGAGGAAGAGGAAAGGAACCTAAAAGAGAAGGAAATAATTCCTAAGTTCTGGGTTGGGATGAAATCTGATGTCTAGAATGTCAGTGAGCCCACTGACCTATGTACCCAAGTGGGGTCAGCTTCCTTCCTGTTGGTCCCTTAGTCCTACCAGCTCAGGTTTCAGATCAGATGTCCCTGCAGGGTTTGTGTTCAAGTAGCCCAATTTTTACTCACTAATGGCTCCCAATGCCAGCAATTTTATTCCAGTACATTGTTGTAATTATTATTATTATTTTTGTTTGTTTGTCTTACAATAAGGTCTCATGTAGCCCATGCTGGCCTTGAACTTACTATGTGTCTGAGGATGACTCTGAACTCCTGATCCTCCTGCCTCTACTTCCTAAGCACTGAGATGACAGATGTGAATCTCCATGTCTGCTTTCTAATTAGATATTATTGTTAATTTCTTACTGTGTATACCAATTATTAATTAATCTACCCATTGAACTTTACTGTAGGTATGCATGGAGAGGAAAAATATAATTATGTTAGGTCTGGTATGACCTTCAGGTTTCAGTGTTTGCTTGGAATGCACCCCTTGCAGATAAGGGGGATCATTGTACCATGATGCTCCATCCAAGATGAGAAGGAATGGCTTACAGTCAGCGGCCCCTTAGAGCATTTAGTCTTGTCTGATGGTGTGAAGGCTCAAAAAAGGTGTTGCTAATCCTCCATGACTGACACCCACTGATAACATACAAGTGGAAAATAACCAGGCAAACTAATCCCAGCTCAATTTCCGTTCACTTGTGATTACCGCACCTCTAAGTTGAACACTCAGACCCAGTCTTGTCTGAACTCAAAGGCCTGACCCTGGATTCAGAGCAACCCACAATTGAAAGTCTCTATGCAGTCTCTTCAGTTGCTGGTGAGAAGACAGGCAAGGAAAGGGGGAAGAAAATGGAGCTGTTGGCTAGTCAAAGAAACTGCTTAATAATACCGAGCTCATTCTCCAGTCCATGGGCGGGGAATCCAAACTGCATGCTAATAAGTGGATTTGTTCCAGGAAGGCAAAGCCCTCACTGAAATAATCCCTTCCTCTGACTGTTTCAATCAATTTGCCACTTAAACAAAATTGTGGATATCAGCTAAGCAATGTGGGCAGCTTTTCAGTGTGATGGCAGTGAACAAGGCTGTTTTAGCAACCCATGTTTACATTCTGGTTTCTGTTCCAGCTAGAAAGAGGCCAACGGAGAGGGTGAGAGAAATGGGACTCGGGATCAGGCATGAACCCTCACAGCTTCAGTGTCCACATCCTTACAATGGAGACTAGAAGTGAAAATCACAGAGCCCAGGGCTCAGCGTAGACAGTGTCTGCCTGGGGTGGGTCCCACTGAATAGCAATTCATCCTAAACCCTCACATTTCAATGAATGTCCAACAGCGGTGGTCCTATCCCAAGTATCTCTGTGCACTTGGCTGTAAATAATACCACTTTGAGTTCACATTTCAAAGGATCCATGTTTTTGTTTAACATCCAATCTTGTAATATGTTACTCCTTTTAGAACCACATGAGGAGGTTTCCTGACTCTTGATACTTGCTTCCTTCCACTTTAAGATCAAAGAAATTGCATGGTAATACAGAGAAGCCAGAACTTCCACAAATGAGCTTTTAAA